CAGGGGACTGCCTGTTGCTGTGGCCTCCAAAGCACAAACTGGCACTTGCCCCCCCAGCTTACGTATCGAGAAGACAAAGCCCTTCCGTGACAAAGAGGGGCAACTGCAGTCTCCCAAGTGCCTCCTGGCCCTGGTGGCTCTCAGAGCCTGGTCAGAGATCAAAAGCTATTGTAGATAGAGGAATAGGTGGAGTTGTTGCTTCCCCTCGGATCTTTTATTGCTTCTGTAATTTGTCTCTACTCTGGTTCCTCCTCACCCCCCTCCACCTTCCCCACTAAATGAGTTGGACTGCTAAAATGTTTGTGAATTCAACTCACTTAGACTGAAACTGGAAGAGGATTCTCATAGAAATTAGTCAGATGTTGATTCTTATATATGCAGGTTAAGGGTGTCTGGAGCCTGACAACAGGTAAGAATTCTTAAAATGTAGTTCTGGCGTTCTTAGCAGAACAAGGATGACTTTAGGTACCTGCTACCACATCTAGTTATAAGCTCCTAACTCATGTGTACAAATTCTTCCTGTTCAATTTTGCTATGTTTGCATAGCAGCTAAATGCTTCACTGGGAAATAAAAGAGAAAGTAGAGGAATGAGAAGAGATACAGCTAAAGATAAATATTTTGCTACTTCTAGTCCCAGTGACTAAATATCAGCATCACAGAAGAAATTGTGATAAACTTTGTGAGGCTTTATATTGAATATTTATTAGCTGATACTGGCTTTAGTGGGCAAACTTAAAAATCTGTCCGTGAGGAACAGGGAGGGTGAGGAGAGGTAAATGCTATATCCAAATACATATAGGAGACTAGAAGCAAGGTTGTGAAAAATAAATTGTTGCCTGCAGTTTCAGAGTAGTAATTTCCTCGGTTTGAGTTTAATTACTTGTAGCGGATGATAGCCACTTAAAGAGAACTTATAAAGCTGTAGTGAAATCTAAAAAAGCACTATCTGGAGTAAAAATGTTTGTAGTTTTGTGGTCTGTAGTCAGCTAGTGTTCTGGCTTCTTAATGTTAGTGCCTGTCTGGCTTGCATTAAGCAGGAGAAAGTAAGACATAGTCTTCACTGGAGATATTACTGATAACAAGAGTAAAATGTGTTGTTCTGAACTGTTGCAAATGGAGTTTCTGAAGCTTTCAATAAATAAGAGACTGATATCAGTCATTCGTATCCTTTTAAGATTTCCTCTGTAAATATCCTGTATTAAAACCCTGAAACTGTGGTTGTGAAACATGAAAAAACAGTGTTTATTCGTGATACTAAAAGTCCGAAAGCTTTCCAAACAAATACTGGAAAAGAGTTACTTCAAAATGTTCTAATGCTGTTTTGGGTAATTAAATGTTTCTTACATTCAAGGCTTAAAATGTTCTTTAGCAAGCTAACCGTGTTGATGCCTCCATAAATCGGTGCTAGAGGGTAAGATAAACTCATTTAACTCCGTGTGTCAGCTGTGCATGTTTGTGGCGACATGAAGCGGTGAACAGTATGTAGTTATAGTAACACTAACATAAGAAACTTTGAACAAAATTGTTGGAAAGACTACGCGCTTTAGAAAGTGCAGAAGCAACATGTTATTTCTGTCTGTGAGAGCGTTAGCAGCTGCACCTGTACGTATGTATTTTGCTTAGTCCGGAGCTGACATGATGATGTACCTTTTTTCGTATTGTAGGAAACGGGCTTCTCTGGAAGACCAGATGGTCTCTTGTCTGACCGCAGTCAAAGTATAAGCGCGTTAGGTATGTGTAAGACACTTGATTTTTATCCACTTATTTGGGGAGCTGATGGTTTGAAGGGTTTAGGAGATCAAGAAAAGATACAATGCTATCGTGTTCTGATATTATCACGTGTCACCGTGCAGTAAGCAACATTATGGGTAATGCAGTAAGTAGACTTTACTTTTGACCCTTACTCGGTCTTTGTTTACTGCAGTTATATGCTCTGGAAAACTTCGCTCAACGCGACTTTTAGTGAAAGTCAGTAGGTGTCAACTTTATAAGCGTTTTTACAACTGCCTGTGCTAAACATGAATTTTGGAAATGAATAAATATTATATGCAGAGTTGAGCAGCTCTAGCAGGGTCACCTCTAAGAGTTGTGTTGACAATAAGAAAAGTTCGGATGGAGTTGTTGAACAGAAACTTACATCAGCATTTTAAAAAACCCCACAAAACAAGATGCTGATACCAGGTATGAAGTTTCCTTAAAGCAATCTTAGTTGAATGAAGACAATGCCTTTATAAACTTGAACTGAAATTTTAGTTTAAATATGTCAAGTTAGTGTTGCCATGGAAGGTAATTTACCCCAGGCATTGCTTTGTGTGGCTGTACAACAGTCAGGTCAGGAAACAGGTTTTGCTCAGACCTGACAGTCTGTGTGGGATAGGTAGATTCAGGGGTTCTCACTGTGGTCTATGTTATTAAAAATGGTCTTTGTGTAGGTGACTTGAGGGCTTTTAACTTAGGTAAAGTTAAGTAAAATTGCATCTGGGGAAAAACTTGGAGCTTATATAATTTAATTGACTCAACTATGAAAGAACTTGTTAAAATAAGTTGAGATTGTTGTGTTTGGCGGAAATCAGAGATTAATCTGTTCATGAGTGGTCAGAACAAGGCAGTATGTTACCAATGTATCACCCTTCTGCCTTCCAGTCTGTAGGTGAAAGGCTGTCAAAATTTTTCTCCAATTCTTCGCCCCTAAGATGTTGGGAAATTAAGAAGGGTGGAAACAAGATAACGTTTGCACTGTTGGAACTTCTCTGGATTTGGACTGGCAGATATGGGGAGCAGAATTCAGAGAGCAGGCTTTGCTTTCATCCTAGAACAGCAGAATGTTTTTTTTCAGGACTCCAGGTGACTAACTGTAGTAATGAATTTACACAGAATAAATAGGAAAGAGTGATCTTCAAGCGAACCTTTCTGTTATACCATTAGCTGGAAGTGAGTCTAAGCTTTGTTGTATTCTTTTCGTTCTGGATGTGCTCTTGTGACTCTTCCTGACTAGCTGTCAACTGCCTGTTCAAAGGTTCTTCCATTACATATTGCAAAATCAAGTTGCGATTTTTGCGTCTTGCACTGAACTCATGGTTGGGGGGAGGACTTTTGCCACTGAAGGTCTTGCTTTCACTGTCAACATTAACAATTTGTTTCTTTTTGGAGCCAGGCGCATCTTGTCACGTTAGATCACCGTGAGCAATTTCAAAGGCTCTGTTTTGGCCTAACTCACTCTTTCAGGTCCTTTTCAGTTGATAGGAATCTCTGTGCTTTCAGACCTAATAATGCTGAGGTTACTTGTTGATTTGCTGTTTTAACTTGAACTAAAGCTGTTTGGGCAGTCCAAAGGCACGTTTGTGCATCTAGTCTTGACCTCATTTAAAATCCTGTACCAGTATTGGGGATTCTTTTCCCTACGCTGCTATGGAAAAGGTTGTCCTTTTTTTCAGAAAAAGCTGGATGGGCCTTTCCTCTATTTTCCTTTGGAAAACCAACTTGTAATAAAGAAATAGTGCATTTGTGTTTTTAATCAAGCCCCTACAGGCTGCTCCTGTTGTCTGGAATGCACTTCTAGACTATGCTTAGTTTATAACTATATTGCTAATTGTATAAGTCATTTGTTTGACACACAGTACCATGAGTAGAGTTAGGGTATGCAGGGTCACCTTCCATTTTCTTTTTCCTTGAAACACGGAATCTAGTAGTAGTGCTCTCTAGCATAAGTCATAATGAGCATAAGCTGAAAATAACAATCACATGCTTGCAACCGGTGTTTTATAAAGCTTTATTTTGACTTAAATCACTATTTATTCTTTGTATCTCTTCCACATGAAAGCAAACCTTTGTTTACAAGCTGGCTATTCTGAATTTTCAGTTCTGAAAGATCTCCTTTGTTTCGTGCTCCTTTGGTACTCTTTAAAAAAACAGAGTTACACATCATGCTGAAATGCTGTTTATTTAGTATGTACAGGATTTGGAGGTGGATGTCTCTGAAATGGAGTAAATCAGTGTTTCAAATTCCAGTTCCAGTACTAAAAAATGCGGTAAATGTGCATAATGAACAAAGCAGATCTAGCAGCTGTTGTTCGGGGTATGCTGATGCAATGTTAGATTTTAACTGTAGTGGACTGAAAACAAGGCTCTGTTCTAATATTCTTAATCTTTACTTGAAAATTGATAAATTTAGAATGGAAAATGATATAGTGGTAAATGATATATAGCCTTTAGCTTTTGGTACTTCCTCTAGACTCCCTAGAAAGACTAATTTGCCTCCCATCCCATATAGATATGAGAACCTGTATAAGCAGATACAACAGATGAAAGGTAACTATAAAAATAGCATGTTTCTGTAGTTACTTCTGTCAGTCTTAGTAGGCTGTCTGGAAAGCAGCAGTGCAGCGTGGTCTTCAGTTGATTTGGTGAACGTGCTAAGCATATCAGACTTCACTAAAGACAATTGGAATCATTATCAGCTCTTTCCTGTTAGCTGTCTGTAAAGCTGTGTTTTTGTCTAGCCTCTTTCGTAAGTAGAGGCAGAAGACTCAGACAAGGTGCAGGAACTTCTCAAAGCAGATAGGTTACCGATGAAATACTTTGACAGCTGATGTGCTTTGAAAAACTCTGAATGTTGAATTAACTAGGTGTGCTCAAGGTATGGAAATCTCAAGTGGAAGAGGAGTCGTGGAATAAGAATTGGTTAGGAATGGAAGCTATGGGAAGAGTCCTTACCCATTTAAAAGCAAATAGACTTGGTCAATGGGAAGCCAATCTGTCATCTGATAAAACCTTAAAATATCAATTTAATGAAGTTGTGAGATATTTTTGTTTACTTGTTGGATACAAACGTGAGTATCAGAATGTTCTGTGAAGGAATCTTGCATACCAGCGTTATCACAAACTACCCACTTAAATATTCAAATTAACATGAATTCTGAACACTGTTCAGACTAAAGTAGCGGTTTTAAGCTTTTAGTGCTGTAGTGGCCAAGGTTTCCTAGTAGAGTCACTTGGTAATGTTACAAGCGCGTCATCTTAGCTCTTGTATGCAGGTGGCCTCTTTATTAACTAATGTGTCTGTCTCGTTGAAGAGTGTATACGAGTGTTTTTTTTTTTTTTCCTCCTCCCAGGGGTAGTTTAATCATTAAGGAAACTGACTGTTTTCCTTCCAGAGTAAGCTGATTTAACATAGTCTACCATATACTTACAGAGCTATCTAAAAATCTGTAGACTTATTTCTGTAGAATCTGTAGATACTTGATTCCAGGTTTGATATCTTTGTGATGGTTGTTCCTGTAAGCTGATTCTGAGATTGATGTTGTAGAACAGAGAGCTTCAGTATTATTACAGAAAAATTCAGCTTGAAAGAGACACGCGGAGATCACCTGGTCCAAACTGTTGCTCAAAACAGGGTCACCTAGAGCAGGATAGTCAGGGCCACTGGGTTTTGAGCATCTCTAAACATGGAGATTCAACAACCTCTCTGGGCAACCTGTCTAGTATTTGATCACTGTAGAGTAAAAAAGGTTTTTCATTATGTTTAAATGGAATTTCCTGTATTTCAGTTTGTGCCCACTGCCTCTTGTATCCTCACTGAGAAGAGTCTGATTTTTGTCGTCTTTGCTTCCTCCATCAAGTGTTAATTCACATTGATTTTCCCTCCAAGCCTTCTCTTCTCCAGGCTAAACAATCTCAGCAGTTTCAGCCTCTGCCCATGTGACATGCTCCAACCCCTTAATCGCCTTTGCGGCCCTTCACTGGACTCACTCCAGTATGTCCACTGCAGTATGTTCTCTTTTGTACTGGAGAACGCAGAATTGGACACTGCACTACAGAGGTGGTGGCATGGGCATTGAGTAGAGGGGAAGAATCACCTCTGTCTGGCCCACCACAGCCCCCAGGCACTTCGCTGCAGGGCTGCTCTCCAGCAGGTCGGCCCGCGGCCTGTACTGGTGCGTGGGGTTATTCCTCCCGAGGTGCAGGGCTGTGCGTTTCCCCTTGTTGAACTTCATGAGTTTTTTCTGCCCATTTCTCCGGCCTGTCGAGGTCCCCACAACCATCTGGTGGTGTACCACCCGGTCCCCCCAGTTTTATATCATCTGCAGGCTTTCTGAGGGTGCAGTGTGTCCCATCATCCAGGTAACTAGTGAAGACATGAAACAGTACTGGCCGCAGTATTGACCCCTGGGGTACTACTGGCTGGCTTCCAGATGGACTTTTTGCACTGCTGATCACAACACTTTGAGCCCACCATTTAGGCCTGTTTTCAATCAACATCACTGTCCTCTTCTGTAGTCTATACTTACCAGTTTGTCTATGCGTATGTTACGGGCGGCAGTATTGAAAGCCTTAGTATCTAATCGTTATTCTTTTCCAGGTGCTGGTGAAGGATCTAACAAAAGTCAGCATATGCAGGATGATTTTGGAGTCCGAGGATGTTTCAGGAGTAAAGGTAGGATTTTTATAGTTAATGTTTGTGGTTTTGGGGAGCAATTAATTCTTCTGTTTAGACTACACATTTAGGATGGGGAACCATGCTACTGATACCCAAATATATTCTGAAAATTTGAGTAATACTGTGTTAATAGTATCCCCATAGTAATATGTGGGAGTTAACAGCATCCCTCAGCAACAGTACTGAGGGATGCTGTTTCTTATGGAAAACAGTAGGTATACCTGTTCTAAGCCATCCTGTTGAAATCATTTTCTTTGTTTTGTAAATGGATACCTATTACACCATATGTTTGTTTTTCAAGTAACTGATTTCACAGTCTTCACTTTCCAATGTAATATGTTGACCTCGGTCAGGCTGCTAGTAGAAGTTCCAGTCTATTCTGTAGTGTATGCATTTAGGTAAACTTTCAATGGTGTAAATGTAGCTTCTTATTCCTTACCTATCTTTTGAAGATGTTCTGATTTGTAATGCCAAGTATGCTTTAATCTTAACTGACATGATTACATACCACTTCTGTCTTCCATGGTCTTAAGTTGATTGTGTATTTAGTAGGCTAAACTGGTACTGACTGGAGAATGTATGCAATTCAGCCTTTGAATATGTATGCATCTCTTCCTCTTGCTATTCCCTTTCCCTTCTGTATTTTTATACGTGTTTTTTCTTAAAAGAATAATTAGTGGACATATCACTGGTATATTAATATAACTGCTAAATAGAAGATGAAGTAGATTATTATAGCTTACTGTGATTCCAGAGGCTAGTATTTCTGGGCATGTAAAAAATGATGGCTAGGAATAGCTAGCATGGATTTACCTGGTATAAATTGGTTTCTGTGAGTACCAGCTGGGTGCAAAGAGCTCTGCTGACTGAAAAGGACTTGGGGGATGAGAGGGGTACAGTGCAGGGAAGGGGGAGCTGATTGACAGTAGGCTTAAACATAAGCCAACAGTGTGCCCTGGCAGCAGTGAATGTTAGCAGTATGCTGGCCTGTCTTAACAGATCAAGGGAAATGATTGTCCTTTCTAATTGCTACTTGTTAGACCGCATAGAATACTGCGCCCAGTTTTGGGCCACCAAAAGAAAAAAGACATTGCCAACCTAGGTAAGTTCAGCAGAGGTCCACCAGCATGCTCAGGGAACTGCAGTACTTGCCTTGTGAGGCTGAGTTCCTGTATTTCAGTTTGTGCCCACTGCCTCTTGTATCCTCACTGAGAAGAGTCTGATTTTTGTCGTCTTTGCTTCCTCCATCAAGTGTTAATTCACATTGATTTTCCCTCCAAGCCTTCTCTTCTCCAGGCTAAACAATCTCAGCAGTTTCAGCCTCTGCCCATGTGACATGCTCCAACCCCTTAATCGCCTTTGCGGCCCTTCACTGGACTCACTCCAGTATGTCCACTGCAGTATGTTCTCTTTTGTACTGGAGAACGCAGAATTGGACACTGCACTACAGAGGTGGTGGCATGGGCATTGAGTAGAGGGGAAGAATCACCTCTCCTGACCACTTGGTAGTACTCTTCCTAATGCAGCCCAGGATGCTGTGGTTGTCTTTGCCTTCAAGGGCACGTTACTGGCTCATGGTCGACTTGCCCACCACAGCCCCCAGGCACTTCTCTGCAGGGCTGCTCTCCAGCAGGTCGGCCCGCGGCCTGTACTGGTGCGTGGGGTTATTCCTCCCGAGGTGCAGGGCTGTGCGTTTCCCCTTGTTGAACTTCATGAGGTTTTTCTGCCCATTTCTCCGGCCTGTCGAGGTCCCCACAACCATCTGGTGGTGTACCACCCGGTCCCCCCAGTTTTATATCATCTGCAGGCTTTCTGAGGGTGCAGTGTGTCCCATCATCCAGGTAACTAGTGAAGACATGAAACAGTACTGGCCGCAGTATTGACCCCTGGGGTACTACTGGCTGGCTTCCAGATGGACTTTTTGCACTGCTGATCACAACACTTTGAGCCCACCATTTAGGCCTGTTTTCAATCAACATCACTGTCCTCTTCTGTAGTCTATACTTACCAGTTTGTCTATGCGTATGTTACGGGCGGCAGTATTGAAAGCCTTAGTATCTAATCGTTATTCTTTTCCAGGTGCTGGTGAAGGATCTAACAAAAGTCAGCATATGCAGGATGATTTTGGAGTCCGAGGATGTTTCAGGAGTAAAGGTAGGATTTTTATAGTTAATGTTTGTGGTTTTGGGGAGCAATTAATTCTTCTGTTTAGACTACACATTTAGGATGGGGAACCATGCTACTGATACCCAAATATATTCTGAAAATTTGAGTAATACTGTGTTAATAGTATCCCCATAGTAATATGTGGGAGTTAACAGCATCCCTCAGCAACAGTACTGAGGGATGCTGTTTCTTATGGAAAACAGTAGGTATACCTGTTCTAAGCCATCCTGTTGAAATCATTTTCTTTGTTTTGTAAATGGATACCTATTACACCATATGTTTGTTTTTCAAGTAACTGATTTCACAGTCTTCACTTTCCAATGTAATATGTTGACCTCGGTCAGGCTGCTAGTAGAAGTTCCAGTCTATTCTGTAGTGTATGCATTTAGGTAAACTTTCAATGGTGTAAATGTAGCTTCTTATTCCTTACCTATCTTTTGAAGATGTTCTGATTTGTAATGCCAAGTATGCTTTAATCTTAACTGACATGATTACATACCACTTCTGTCTTCCATGGTCTTAAGTTGATTGTGTATTTAGTAGGCTAAACTGGTACTGACTGGAGAATGTATGCAATTCAGCCTTTGAATATGTATGCATCTCTTCCTCTTGCTATTCCCTTTCCCTTCTGTATTTTTATACGTGTTTTTTCTTAAAAGAATAATTAGTGGACATATCACTGGTATATTAATATAACTGCTAAATAGAAGATGAAGTAGATTATTATAGCTTACTGTGATTCCAGAGGCTAGTATTTCTGGGCATGTAAAAAATGATGGCTAGGAATAGCTAGCATGGATTTACCTGGTATAAATTGGTTTCTGTGAGTACCAGCTGGGTGCAAAGAGCTCTGCTGACTGAAAAGGACTTGGGGGATGAGAGGGGTACAGTGCAGGGAAGGGGGAGCTGATTGACAGTAGGCTTAAACATAAGCCAACAGTGTGCCCTGGCAGCAGTGAATGTTAGCAGTATGCTGGCCTGTCTTAACAGATCAAGGGAAATGATTGTCCTTTCTAATTGCTACTTGTTAGACCGCATAGAATACTGCGCCCAGTTTTGGGCCACCAAAAGAAAAAAGACATTGCCAACCTAGGTAAGTTCAGCAGAGGTCCACCAGCATGCTCAGGGAACTGCAGTACTTGCCTTGTGAGGCTGAGGGAGCAGGGCTTGTTCAGCCTGCAGAAGAGAAATCGGGGGGGACCTCATGAGGAGGTTATCCAGAATGGATATCTAATGAGGAGGTTTTCAAGAATATGGATCCAGGTTCTTTGAACCTCTTGAACCTCTGAACTGAGGTTCAAAACAGGTGAATGAGAGAAACAGGTGCCAGTTACAACAAAAGAGGTTCAGACTGGATAGAAGGGAAACTTTTTTCCCCCCATAGGGACAGTCCAGTGGTGGAACAGGTGCTTAGAGAATGCAACCTTGGGGGCATTCAAGACATGACTGCACGAAGCTGTGAGCAGCCTTGTCTGAGTTTTGTGTTGAGTCTGCTATGAGTGGGAGTTCAGACCAGAGACCTCCTGAGGTCCTCCCCAACCTGAATGATTCTGGAATTCTATGTTGATTTAAATAATAAACTGGTGTCAAAGACAGTTGTGAAGTTGATATTTTTTCTTCTTTTTTCTCCTCCTCATTGTAGATACTAATGAATCTCTGAACAGAGAGGATCAGCCAGTGAGATTTGGTAGTGGAAGGAGTTTTGGAAACAGAGGTAACTTTATGGAGTGTCTGTAATTCTAGTAGCTATTTGTATTTGCTATTCAGGTATTAAATTTTGTATCAGAGCCAAATTAGTATTTATGACTTTGACACAAAGACCAATCCATATTTCTGCGTAATTTAGTCATTCAGTATAACCCCTTAGTTTTGATTGCACAAAATACAACACCCATCTGTATTTACCGTGAAGGCAGGGCTCCGCATTTAAAATCAATGCGTTTTGTTGACCTCTGATTTTGATTCCTTTTAGCCTGGAGGGAGATATTTTTCCGATATCTTTGAGTGATAATATAGTAGAAAAGACAGCCGAATATTAGTTCTCATGTATACACTATATGAGAAGGCATACCAGTGCTCTTCTGTGCAAGGCCTGAAAGTTTTCTCTTTAGTGTCCCTAAAGTGATATTTAACCCCTATCCTGCTTCCAGCTTATAATGGAGAGTGCCCCTCTCATATGTGATGCACGTTCAAGAAACTGGTCATTGCCACTTTGTTCATATTAGCCCATATGCTCCCACCAGCTGCCATCAGAAGTGCATCTGGTAGTGGAAACTATTATCATGTATCATCTGTCCAAACAATTTTCTGACTGTAAGTGGAATTGCTTATGGAACAAGGAGGGCAAGCTCTAATCCTGGTTTGGAATGTTTTGCAGAACAGCATTGTGCAGCATCTCTGTTCAGGGCATCTGTGCAACCACTTAAGAGTTCTATGTACTCCTTCAGAAAATTTCACACTGTTTCCCCTTTGGTAGGTCAATGCTAGGTTTAGTTGACTAAGCAGACAGTAGCACTTTGCCAGTGACAGTGGATAATGCCTAACAGTTCTATTGTAGGCTGTCTTAAGTAACTGTTAAGTAACCCACAACCTGTATTTAAGGTCTGTAATACCTGTGGATGTTTACATCCAGCCTACCTTTTGCATGTGAGTCTTTAGGATGTGATCTGTTTTGCATTTGGAAGAACTCAAATGGCAGTCGCTGTATTTCAGTATGTATGTACCAAGAAGTGGGGGAGACAGAAATAGATGTCTGTTGTACAACTTTGTGGTCTCATTTAGTAGGAGATGCTCTTTGTCTTTGCAAGATGATGGAAAAGATGTTCAATAGAAGCATAAAGGCTGAGGAGTAAATGACAATAGAAGTGGCCTGCTCAGAACTTGTGACAAAACCTAAAACTGTCCCGTCTCTCTTAAATGAGAAACAGCTTGTTTATGGATGTGGCTGTCGTCTTCCTCTCCCTCTCCATCAGAAGGGCGAGTAAAGAAGGGGGAGGTAGACATGAAAATATGTTGAATACTTGTTGTGTCAAGCAACTAAATAAACAATGTTGAGTAAAATATTAAGCATGGATAAATCTGAAAGGCAAAAGGTACTTGAAGAAAGCCAGATATTTAAATTCTTAAGAATGGGATGATTAAATGTTCCTTTGCAAATCTCAAATTTATTATTGACTCAGGGACAGTATTAGGATTTGTTAGGAGACGGTCTAGGATGACTCCAAGAACTGTATAAGGAACTTGTTCCTGGCTTTGCAGAAGTGAAAAATGTGTTCTGTCTACAAGGTGAGGATTTCTGTGTTAAAGTTAGACTTACGAACTGTGTTTGTGGGAGAATGACAAGAGGAACAGAAGACTGTTATGTAGGGGTTAAGACTTGTCAAATCCTGGCTACATAGTAGGCGGTAAATAAAATATTACTTCACTATGGTAACTGGTTACCAAAACCAAGAAGGTGCAAATGCTGCTAGTTGTCCTGTGCCTGAACCAGAGGACTAAACTGACCTGCATCAAAACTGAAGACTTGTAAGTGAGCAGCTCTCTGTTAAACATTTACATGTGTAAACTCAAATATTTCAAGACTTAATGCTTGATCTACTTCTCGCAAGAAGCAGTATGGGGTGGGGTAGACTTTCCTTCTCTCTGTATTCCTTTGGGAATATGTTTAGGCAAATCACTTACTCTTGACTTATCACTTGTTAGTCTAATTCATAGAATTAGGGCTGAGAAGAGTAGTCATCAGATAAAAAGCACTTGCGTTGCCCAGCAAAGTTAGGCAAACTGAAGTGTTGTGTTATGGGTACTACACAGGTTTTCACGAAAGGAGCACGACAGAGGGTCCCAGTACACGAAAAGGAGGTTTTAGAGGAGTTTCTGGAGGCTTTGGACAAAGTCAAAGTAAGTATTTATATTGACTGGTTTGTGAGGAAAGGTACGCTTGATTGTTCTTTTCAGGTTGGTTGCTCCTTGAGAACTAGAAGTAAAAAGGTGAAAACTATGAAATAACTCTTGTTTCTTAGCTATATTATGGAATGTAGACTGTTGCTTTGCCAAATACTGTCATTGGGAATAATACTGCATGCGTAGGATTTTTAAAGAACCTCTTGCAGCTGTTGCATTGTAAGGTTTGCTGGGAGTAAATAGTACTAGTTTTAAGCATAGTACTTCATGATAGTATTTTAGACACAATACCCGTTACTTTACGCAATTACCCATTATGTTACTTACAGGTATTAAAAATGAGCAAAGAGACAGACCTCAATCTGGCAGTTTTCTTGCCTCTAGGGAGAGAGGAGCACTTGGAGGGCCTGCAGGTGAGACGTTTTGTTAGGGTAGGGACTTCTTGACTTCCTCATTGCTGATTCATTGCAACGTAATATCTTTACACTTAGTTTCACTAAATGCTATTAGCTTGATTGCTCTCTTCGTCTGAATTAAGCAGCCTACTGCAAATGTTAGATATCTTGCTTGCATGCACGCACCAAGCATTTGGATAAATTTTGGTGATTGGATTTTCAGAGCTATTATCTTTTGTAGTTATTCTTGATCCTGCTGTTTCTGGGCCAGTTAATGAACAATGAAGCAGAGGTGCTAGACAGTTTGAAGCAAGTTTTCATGAACTTGCTCACTTTTAAAGTTGTCATTCTAGATCCCCCCCCGCCTTGCCACCCCCCACCTCCAAAGGAGAACCATATTTTAAATCTGTCCTGGCTGACAACACGTGAGGTGTGTTGCTTGAGGCCAGGTCTTCCTGATGACTTTATTTTTGTGGCTTTTTGCTGTCTATAAGGGAGTTTTCCCTCATAATCATATCTTCCTTTGCCATTGATGCTACTGTAATTTGCAACCCATATATCATGCTACTTAATGCATCATGTCCGTCGCTCGAGTCTCGTGGTTCAGACTAGAAATAGCATTAAGCTAGTACAATGGGTAGTGCATGACTGATACTCTCTAAGAAGTGTGATGTCAGTAAAAGAATTTCTTCCCTGTAGAAAGATGCAATGATTAGCATGCATTTTTCAGCAGTGCTCCTTAATATGTGTGGTGACTTAATGTGAAGAAACCTCATTTCAATTAAGTTGAGTTCAAATCACGGTTTTTAGAAACTCAACTGTTTATAGATGCAACATGCTAATAACAGTCACTTGGTGGACGTACTGCATCCTTAGTATAGCATAGCCATTCCTTCTTTTTTCACCGTTAATGTTTAGTATCAGTACTTAATGACTGTTAGAGACTTTTGTAGGCAGTAGTTAGTCTAGACTGTAGAGAAACTGACGTGTGGAAAGATGATTTTTCCTGAGAGTAGTTTGCTGCATGGGAAACGAGTCCCTTTATAGTAAGGCGGGGGATGTCTGTGGATCTAGCAAAGGGAACTCTGATGTGATGTGCTCAGCACTTGCAGTTTCAACGGCTGTGTGCCATAGTTGGGCAGCAGAGCAAGCTCTGGTAGGCTGTTCTGTCTCCTCACCCTCCTTCTCTGAGTAGTGGTCAAGCCCTTCTGATAGAGTTGGTATTATTAATGAAGGTAGGGTAGTCCTGGCTTTTCTTAAAACGGTTGTGTTTTTTTGCACGTTAGAGATACTGTGTAGGCATGTTCCATCTTTTGATGGAAAAATAAGTCTATTAAAGTGATTGCATACGCTGTGTTGCATCTTAGTTTTGATTCTCTGTCACCACCCTAATGAAACTCTGGTTTCACGAAGTTTCTTAAGACTCTTGCTGCTGAACAGGGCATTCATGGTCCAAGATACTGGACTGGCTTCCTCTTTAGAGCTAACATTTGTGCAGTTATCTAAGTTAACAATTCGATCTTGCTGAGAATGAACAATTAGAGTAGTAAGCTGCCCTGATCCTATTCCTTTTTTTTCATGCTGGTGCATTTAGGAGGAATGCAAATGAGAGAGGGGGAAGGAGGTGTTGCACGATCTCTGTACTTCTGTGATGCCAGTCTCAGATTGTCAGTGTCTCACAGTATGATTTTTATGAATGACCTCAGCTGAACGTTTGAGAGGAGAGCCTAAGTCCAGCTGCTCTTATCCTTCCTCTTCATTCAGTCTTGCATTCCTTACTTACAATTTTAGCCTCTTTTCTGTTGTGGAGTCTTCATACTAGTGGTTTCTATCTTTTCAAATCAACAATGCAACTTCCTGCATAGAGTAGCTAGAGGCTATCAGTGATACATTAAATTGAAAAAAGCATTAACCATTATAAGATTAAGGATTGAAAAGGGAGTCTGGAAATGCTGCCTAATAGTTGAGTCTTTATTAATACAGTGTTTACATCTGATAGTGAGGAGCGAATGCAGTTTTTAAGAATAAATGTCTTTTCTTTCAGGTGATAGTGAAAGCTACAGAAGCAGAATGTTTGGATGCCAAGGTCAGAATCTTCATGGGGTGGATTTTACAGAATGCGTGGCTGTTGAAATAACAGGATAATCTTTTTTCCTGGCTTAAATACTCGCCTCGCTTAGTTACCATTATGATAGTGACATTTAAGGCTTTTTAGTTATTTAAAAGTTGCTTGTACAGATAGCATAAAACAAGCATCTCCTGACTTTGTGGAAGTGTTGACTAGTCTACTGACTTAAATGTTTCCACTCGTTCTGCAGTTGTATTGGGATCTACTGTTTAGTTTTCTAAGTGCTTCTAGTCATTTTTCATTAAGATTCTTATGTAGAACTTGCATCAAATGACCGTTTCTCTAAAAGCAATTAATTTTGGAACACTTACTCTGACAGGAGGTTACAAAGGACATGATGAAGAAATAGGTTCTGGAAGAAGTAAGTAGCTTCTTTGTAAGTAAGATGGCAATTTTCCTTTCCTTTTAATTCAAAGAATGTTCTCTTGCTTAAGGTTCCTGGAAGTCTGTTGGTGAAACGGGTGGTGATACAGGTAAGAAATATAACTACCTTAAAACACTTGGTGTAACATTAATTGCCAGGCAAATGCTGTTATGTTTAAACTTTGTTAACCTTTAAGTCACTGAGCAAATAGCGTGGTAGTTTTCATCTAAGTAAAGATGAGTAACTCTTTGGATTGGGTTGCTATTGAATTCCTTACACCCGAAGAAACTCTTCTGTTGATGGCGGTTTCCTGTAAAGGTACTGCTCATCTAGTTGAGACACAACTGTTTGAAAGAAATTAAAGTAGCAGTAGTGTACACATCTAAGTGATTAGTCATTAAAGCGAACTGCTAAGGGAGCAGTGGTTTCTCAGTCTCAGATGTTCCATTTAAGATACCATTTCTGGAAAATACGCTTGATGTTTTTACTGAGCTCTAGTGAAGGATAGAATGGCCCATATATACAGGAGATTAGTTAAACTATGTAATGACTTTCTGGCATGTATTGAAAATACCATTTGAGACAGTCTGCTAGAATGTTTACTTACCTGGAGTATTTTTGGCAAATGATTCCGGATTTATTTTGCCTTTCTCTTCCTTTTGAAGTGCAAAAGGACAAATAGTGAGCCGACTCTTATGTGAATAAGTGATTCATGATCCTTCCTCGTTTTGAGGTCTGTCTGAAACAGCTTCTGTTGCTAACCTTTAAGTAAACATCAAATAATTCATTTTAAACCTTTGAGACTTTTAGCATGAAAAGTATCCTAAAAGTATACAGAATCATAAATGTGCTGTCATGGGCAAGGTAATCGTTATCCTTGTGCGCTAATAAATGCGTTAAGTTATTGAATAGGCAGAACTTGTAATGTAAAGGTCCTTTCTGATAGAATTGTTTTTTGCATGTTGGTAAGGCAGAGTCTAAATTCCATAAGTAGCTCTTCAAAATAAGGTCCTTGAGCAAATGTGAGGCAAGAACGCTTTATAAGAGTGACTTTATATTTGCAAGCGAGTATTAGAGCTAGTAGTATAAAACTGAATTTTAATAAAATTCATTTCTGAAATGTCTTCCTTCTCTAGAAGCGGAGGCAAGTCTAAGTGGCGTTCAACTGAACTGAACTTCAGTGCTTCCTTACTTAAAATTATTTTGTTCTCTTTATATTGCTCATGGTCTTGCATGCTTGTATTCTTAAGGTCCAAAGGTGACTTATGTGCCCCCTCCTCCACCTGATGATGAAGAAACCATCTTTGCACATTATCAGACAGGAATTAATTTTGACAAATACGATCAAAACGTTGTCGAAGTATCAGGACTTGACCCTCCACCAGCAATACTGGTTAGCGAACTTGTTCATCTCAGGGGTTGGGTTGACTGTGATTCTGCAGGGATATATCCCGAGTCCAGTATTCACTGCTAATAAAAATATTAAAGACTGAATCCTGCAGACAGTACTATGTGGGAAGGAGATGTGACCCTTCTGAAAAATTTGAATTCAAATGATATTGACAAACTACAGATATGGCCTCGAGAAAGTAACACTAGATGGACAGGAAATATGGTCCTTAAATTGAAGAAAATAATGTCTTTTAGACCTTAAAGAGGTCTTTGGCACCAGTTTATAGAAAGGCTGGTAGTCTTCATGTTGAAGTCTGTTAGTGGAGGATCTTTAACAGCTTAAATGAGCATTTGTTGAATACTCTTCATTTGTGTGACAAGTTTTTGTTTTTTTTTTTTTAAAGTAACTTCTGATCCTGTTTTCTGTGGCTACAGTTTACTGCTTAAAGCAATATATAACTTTGCTCCCAGACATTTGTATCAGTTTTCTTAATCTTAGCCCAGGTGGCTATTTCAAAAAAGCCTCCTTTTAGGGGGAAGGATGAGGAGGAAAAGGGGGAATGGTAGCAGCGCCTGTGAGTGAAGAGACTATGCAGAGTTTTTCCCCCGCTCATCTTCTAAATGGTTTTCTTACTGAAGTTAAACTGGTTTTGTCATCACATACGCTTTTTGCCCCTCAGTAGGGATTTTTGCCCCTCAGAGGGCTTTAGCTCCCCGTAGTAGTAGCCTTTTCACTTAAGAAACTAAGAGCAGATCTTCATGAAATAAAACTGCAGAATTTGTCTTCATAGGACACCATGATGTGGGCTTACCTGCTTAAATCAAGATTTATTACGTGGCTTCTGTGCAGTTTTCTCTCAAAGCTAATAAGACCTGCTGAAGGTCTTCTATCCTTAGAGGTGACTTTACTTGAATGGCATGGGCTGGTTGAAGAAATCTTTGAGGCTTTTACTGTAGGAATTCTGGCAATCTAGATGACTAGTGAGATTCCCTCAAAATTACTGCTTTTTACTGTTTGGATGTCTATATCATATGGCAAACATCTCTTTTTTTTTTTTTTTTTTTCTTATGTAACTTAAGCGTGGTTACGTATTGTAAAATATTTTTCTTGCAGACTTTCGAAGAAGCTAACCTCTGTCAGACTTTAAACAAGAACATTGCTAAAGCTGGGTACTCTAAACTTACTCCAGTGCAGAAGTACAGTATTCCTATTATACTTGCAGGACGGGATTTAATGGCATGTGCCCAGACAGGATCAGGAAAAACTGTAAGCTATTTCTGAAGTGTTCGTGCATACCTAAAATGTGTGGCCTTAGTTTTAGTTAGATGCCTCAGTCCTCCCAATTAAGGATTCCTCTGCTGTGAAGCATTTATTGCAACTCTGTCATTTCAGTGCAAGTTAATTCATTAGGGAAGCCTAGTATTAAGCACAAGTATGAATGATGGGTGGATAGTCATGTTGTCAGGGTGAATTTCTTTTGAAATATTTCAGTAAACTGATATCTTGATGCAGCAGGCCAGTCTTCAGGGCTACTGATACAGAATCATAAGCAGTATAGACATGCTGTGGGAGGTGTTGATTAGAAAAAGCTTAACAGTTCAGGGGAAAAAAAAATTATTTAAAAAGCTTATGCCAGACTTAATACGGTGTGTCAACTGTCATCCTGGAGCTGACCTGAAAGCATCAGGTGGGCATAAACACTCTCTCATGCTGTGGCTAATGCAGGAGGAATATGATCTGATCTGAATCAGATCTGTAGTTTTAGGTGATTTGGTATTAATCATGGAACAATGACTAGAGGTGATGCTTGTCTCAACCTGTTACACTGTCTAATATACCCAAATCTAACCACTGACAGTTCCTTTATCAAAATATTTGGCTGTTAAATGTAGCTTTTTGACATTCAGTGTAGCGTGTAATTCTAGCTTTATGTAGCTTATTAGTTGCTACTAGTTTTGAAGAGCAGATGCATTCTTAACGCTGTTAGAAGAAGGAAGGAAAATAAATGTCCTAAAGCGAATGCTATAAATACTCTGAATTGCTTTTGGCGTAGCTGTACAGGTGCTATTTTGGGTGTAACTAGTCTTGTCTAGAAGTAAGACTGCTGATGCAGCTGTGTGCAACTGCTTTGCTGTTTAAGTAGTCTGGAGATGTGTGCATATCTCATATCTGCTGGCAATATACAGCTTGTAAGTAAATGCTTTGGGATTTTTTGGTTTTTTGATTCTGGGCTACTTAATTACAGTTGTATGCCAGTATAGTGTGTTGAACTGCCTGAAGAACTCGGAAGTGCATTACTGTTCCTGCATTATTAGATGCTTAAGGTCCAGGGAGCTGTTTTCATGCTCCTTAAAACAAGGAGAAATAAGCTTAAATGTTCTGCAGTGTGTTCAGGTCATTCCTTTTGCAGTCTGTTTTCCTTGAAGTTGATAATGTGCTGTATCATTCTAGTTTAGTAAGACTGACATACAACTTTTAATGTGACTAATGAAAACGTTATTTTAAGACTAAATAGCTTAAATATTGATGCTTACTCTTCAGGCAGCTTTTCTTCTACCCATTGTGGCCCATATGATGAGAGATGGCATAACTGCCAGTTGTTTTAAAGAGCAGCAAGAACCAGAATGTATTATTGTAGCCCCAACTAGAGAACTGATAAACCAGATCTTCCTAGAAGCAAGGAAATTTGCGTATGGGTAAGCTTTTGTACTGTTGCCTGATAGTGCTTATTATTTAGCCTTAATCAGAAATGCTTGTATCTTTTTACAAACACTTTCAAAAAAAAATTTTCTGTACAAGTCAAATTGAATGACTACAGGCACTTGAATTTAAATAGTAATACTGGTTAGCAGATTTCTTACTATATTGGTGATTTAAACTCTTATGGCATTGCTTGGGGGAGAAAAGGCTTACTCCAGCCTGGAGAGGAGATAGATACTGAACTTGCCATGTACTTTTTATGAGGAAAGAGGGAATGACATAAATGAAGTCTGACTTGCCTTGTATAATTTGACTGTACTCTTATTTTCATCTTTGCTGGAATGGAAGAGGATATGTGTAGTGGTTTTGTTGAACTTTCTGTGGTAGTTTGTGGTAACCCCTGTAGTTTGGACTTTCCGGTGTTACTGATCTTGAGAAAAAAATATTTCACTGCTCAAACAAGCTGTGATAAAAATTTATGTTTCGTTTTGAGGAAGCAAAGTTAACTTGCCATTGAGCCCTTGGGTGTGGCATGATGGAGTACATTTTTACTAGTTTGCCAGTGATATTTCTGTCGCACAGCGACAGGTTGCTCTAGTGCATGGGAGGAAATAATTTTCTTGTATGTAATGGCTTGTTTGCCGTCTCCTGTCTGCAGGAGATGGAATGGAGAATGTCACTTTGTCAGTGCAAGATCTGCCATAATTTAGATTTGCCTTTGGTTTTTCAAGGAAACTCATGCTGGAGGCTGTTCTTTGCTTTGAGGAAGTTGCATCATATCAGCATGATTATTTGCCAGATGTGTTACTAAGAATATGTCTTTTTAAAAAAATCTCAAGCTGTTCTACCTGTGCAGCTAATTTATTAATTACTGTCTTTGAAACTGGATATCGATTATTTCAAGATGAGCTAGCTTTTGAGCTTAGAAAGTTTCTATTGCAGCAGCCCTGAAGCAAATCAAGGTGGCATACCTCTGGGGAGCATTTAAACAGTTCCCCAGGATGTGTGTGAATCTATTGCCTTTAAGGAATTGCGTGTGTATTACTCAATTCAGATTCATGATGCTCTTAAGCCCCTTTAGTTCCCCTAAGTACCTTTGGTAGCAGGTACGAAAATGTACCTGCTGCTAACTGGTGGCAGATACATGCTGAACTGTTACCAGTCCAACCTCTAGGTATTCATGGCCAAAACATTCTGCAGAGTTCCAGTTCAAGGGTAAAAATCCACCAGGTTTATCTGATTCACTGTTGTTGCATATGAAGCTGAAATGATCATCATCAAGAATAGCTGGTTTAGATGTGAATATGAAAATTACACATGGCTTGCAAGGAGAAACCTTAACAGGAGGTTATAAAGATAAACTCTTGTGTTTGTTGCTCAACTGCATGAGGTAGTACTTGCTGGTAGAGCTTGTCTCTTCTACAGAAGAAAATCTGATGTAGCTTTACTTGACAGATCTAACCAATGCCCCAGTAAGAAGAGTACTAAACACTTTGGTGGAAAAGTTTGCTGTCCAATGCTTGAGTGGTATCAGCACACGGTATACAGTTATTTGCCTTGCACACTGATTCACCTGTGTATATTGTCACATCGGTCCTGTGAGATGTGATAAGATGACCCCTGAAGCTTTAAAGGCATACTTTGATTCCTCTCCTTTTTCTACTCAGTATGCCATGTAAAAGGGAACAGCGTCTAGCACTGCTTCAGTTAATACTGAGGATTGTATCTCGGTTGAAGGGAGAGGGAAGAATGTAGATGAGATGCAACGTGTTTCTTCCCAGAAAGCCACGTGTGCACCCTCTATGTAATCTGAATGGGAATTTTCACTGAGGTTACAGTGAGCGTTAGTTTTTTTTTTTTTTGGGGGGGGGGAGGGAGGGGGGGAAGAGGGTTGTCTTGGGTCCTGCTTTTAATTATAAGCTGTGCTGCATGATGGCGTTAAACCGCTCAAGCTTACCGAGTTGTTTCTTGATAAATGTGATTTCTATGTGTTTTGAGGTTTAAAAAAATCAGTTACATAAACATGTAATCAGAATATTTCCTATATCGTAGGACTTGCATAAGGCCTGTTGTAATCTATGGAGGAACACAAACAGGTCATTCAATTCGTCAGGTGATGCAAGGCTGCAACATACTATGTGCCACACCAGGAAGGCTTATGGACATCATTGGAAAAGAGAAGGTAAGATCTTAAAATTTAGTCTAAATTCCCTAAATGCTTTTAGCCTTTTGGCTGCATATTGGTGTTCATTCTTCAAAGCTGACAGAATTGAAGATAGCGCCATGAAAACCTGTCAATATGTGGCATTTATTCATGCGCTTAAACTACAGTTGAGCTTTTCTTGAGATGTCCAAATACCATAAAGCGTTTGAAAGAGTAACATGAGTCTAGATCTCTCCATTTCCTTTTGGGGGCACTGGAAAATATCAATTTGTATTAGACTGGCTGCAGTATCCTTGGTAATTAAGTCTTAGCATGTTAAATAGTGGTGCACCTTTTCTTATTCCTTGTGGGGAAAACTCCATGCTGGATTTTCACTTGATTTCTTGTTTTTGCTACGATAGCTGTTTAGCTGTCAGTGGAACTACTTTGCTAATATCGACTCTTTGAATACTTTAATACTGACTTATTCAAAATAATTAACTCTAGGAGTAATTTTTTTTTGTATTTATATTTTTCCAGCCATAGTACGTAGCAAGCTCCAGCTGAGAACTTACAATATTATATTGGTGGCTCAGTGATGTTGCACTGAACAAACAAAGTTTGGAAAAATCCCTCTCTTGCTGATAAACTGGAGAATGGCTTTCTGTGGTTCTTGGGCTTCTATTTTAAATGACTCTCTTTATCAGCAGTGAGGAAGTTGTAGCGTGTTGTCCTTAACATGCCTTCCACCATTACTTCTCACCATCACACATTCTCAAAAATCTCCCTTCTCTGATAGAAGGATGGGAGAGAACATCTCTAAAGCTCAGAATTAATTTCAAAATAGTTGTGGTAAATAGTAGCTGATCTACAGTAGGCTCTGTCTTGATTTACATTGCTAAATCCGGTTCTGAAGCACTTTATTGTAAGCATGCTATCAGAGTTAGTGTAGGTGTAAGCTAAAAAAGTTAAATAGAACTTGATGTAAACAAAACATGCCTGAGGAGGACATGGGGGCTTTAATTGTGAATAACTTACACTTTCACTAGAAATAAGTAAAAGTTGGATTTTGCCACTTAGGAAATTCTGGAAGTGTCAAATGTCTGAACCAATACAATTTTTCTTTCACTGAAATATCTACAGATTGGTCTGCATAAAGTGAAATACTTGGTCCTAGATGAAGCAGACCGTATGCTTGATATGGGTTTTGGTCCAGAGATGAAGAAGTTAATTTCTTACCCAGGCATGCCATCAAAAGACAGACGTCAAACATTGATGTTTAGTGCCACTTTTCCTGAAGAAGTTCAGAGGTAGGTAAAGTAAAGGTAGAAATATATTTGAAGGTATATTTGTGTATTTTTAAAAATACATCTGAAGAATTAAGGATGCTGTTTAACTTTAGAAGCTTATAAACTTGCTAGAAGATACAGGCTGCAATGCTATCATTCCTCATAGAAAGGCTGCAATATTATCATTCCTTGTTGAAGGCTTGCCTGTTTTATGTGTAGATGAATTGCTTAGTTGGGCTGGGGACTCTCAAGCATCTTTAGAAGTGTGTGAGAGATCTTAAATTCCACTCTGCCGAAGTCCTCATACTGCCCCATCTGTTTCTTGCTGCTCCCCACCCCCACCTGCCATATAAGTTCAAAAGCAGTGATCCCGCTGTTTCACAAGCAACACCAGCACTGCTGCCTTTGGTAACAAGACATAAACAGAGAAGCAAACTGTTACTGAAGTTACCAGCCTTTGATCTAGAATCCTTTCTCATGCGCATGCACGCTATTTGCTTTTGGTAGTTTAAAACTTATGCAAATGAGTTTAGATGTGTCTTATAGCTTTACTACTCGCTCCCCTTAAAGCTCCCCTTTCCAGACTTTGAGAGAGCAGATGCAACAGCAGGTGTTGCTGAGCAAAGGAGTAACAGAACAAAACACTCCTTTCCCTGTAGGTGAATGGGGATTATTCATTGTCTTCCGCTTTGGAAGAAACGGATACCTGATGATCTCCTTTTAAATTGGAGAGATCTAAACTTGGATCTGAGCATTTGAGAATTTTTGTAGCTTTTGTGGTATTGATAGGGTCGTGTCAGACTAAAACATTTGCAAGCATCTTACAGTTCGAGGATATGTAAACTGATCAGACCATTGCAATGCTGGAGCTTAAGTGGGTCATATTTTGACAGTGTTCTTCTGGACTTTAAACAGGCCTGAAAGATCTTTTTTTTTTGAAGTTGAAGAAAAGCATCTTTAGCTACTATCCAGAAGGAAAAAAGGGGAATGGTCTGCTTTCTGTAATCGGTTAATAGTTATGGCTTTTGAGGTGGTGAATTATCTACCCCTAAGCAGGTTCGAATTCACTTTGAACTCAGTCACCTGGTGTGGCACAAGGTTCCTCAGTCAAGCCTTTCTTCTGTGGCGCTTGTTTCTATGTTGAAAACATCTTACAGCGAACTAATAACGGGGCTTGTTTATGTGGCAGGGTGTCAAGCATTCAAATGGTACTGAACATGAGAGGGTAGCCGTGGTTCATGTGTTCATCATGTGTATTTCCTGTTTGTGCAGGAACATGGTCTCACTTCCCGCTATAGCCTGGGAAAAGATTGAGTGTCTCCCTTTAAAATGAGGAGCGTGCTCTGCTTGGTCAAGGTTTTGGGGTTGAGAGGAGCCTTGCTGCTGTCCTTATCAATGTGTTCTGGCTAATGCTCTTGCTTCATGTTCTGCTACATACTGAGAGGTGATAGTCAAGAATACCGTAAGCACCAGCATCTGAAAGGAGATTCCTTTGGCTGTGCAAGGTGTTTACAGTCTGCCTTTGGTTTTTAAAGAACCAGATCCTCTTTTCTGCTGTCAGGATTTATAGGCGCTGGTAGAAGACTTCAGTAGCTTGAGTAGCTTGATCATGGTTTAGAAATGTATAACGTTCTCTTCATCTCTTAAAATTGGAATACCTACTGGTAATGCTCTCGCCTTACAGAGCGAAAACTTTTCTTGAGTCACTTTCTCCCTGGATTTGCTGCCTTTTTGATTCTGGAGTTAGGAAAGCCAATGTCTCTTTCCTCACTGTACTACTCAATACAAATTTGGTAGGCAGTACAGGACAAGGTACTCTTTGTGCTAGCTCTGGTGGGTTCAGGGTCTTCTGTGCTTGTATTTAGACTTCTTTTCAGTGAATGTGATCAAATTTAGTTTTACCGTACTACTTGATTTTTGTGCTTGGACTTGGATCTTGGCAACGTCACTGAGCCACCAATATAATATTGTAAGGTCTCAGCTTGGATGGGCGTTTGGTCTGGCTTGTAAAGCTCTTCCATGTACCGGAGTTGAGAACACCATGCATTTTGTAGCTGAGGTATGAATTTGAAATGAGCATTTTTGGCTCTATATCTTCCAATAAAAGGAATTTGCTTTCTTTTTCTTCTCTCCTTCCCTGTTTTGCCTCGTTGGCAGTTTCTGCAGGGTTTAAGCTTTCCCTTTGTTTTCAATTTAGGACTAGCTCAGTGAGATCTTAATTTCTAGTCAGATGTTAAGACCAAACACATTCAAGCCTCTAATAACCTTGGGAGATCTAAGTCCTTTAGCTCTCTAGCTCTTGCTCTTCTAAAACTTGAGGTTGCCAGCTTTCACTTAAAGATTAACTTGTTACCTGATTTTTTTTTTTTTTTTGTCCTGTAGTCAAAGCTGCTTTGTGTACAGCTGGATATTAAGCCTGCCTGTACTAATAAGTTAACAGTTCAGTACAACTTCTCAACTATTATGGGGCATTTCTAAGGCATTTCTTGCCTATTCTGGCAAGCTTTTTCTGTCAGATAAGATCACCTGTGTAAGGGGTAACTACAGAGGAACATTATCTGAACAAACCATTATTGAGGTAGAACTTGTCTTTTGCCAGTGGCATCTCTTCAGAATAAGTGAAACTAGATTACTGTCATGTGATGCTCTGTGTTTTTAAGCAGTGCTTTTGTTGAACAGTCAATAGGGATGGTGCTGTCTCTTGAAGGTAAGTTTTGAATTCAGGCCTGTGTAGGATTCTCCTCTCTCCCTCTAGATAATGACAAAACAGTGCCCTGAAAACAGTCAATATGAGCATAAGTGTTAGTATCCCATTTTACTTCAAGTATGCATGTGTAACTCTCTTGAGATGGCTAGGAAACGTTACATGTTACAAAAAGCTACAAGGAAGTAATTGTTCTGTGTATCTTCTTACTCTTTTGTATAACAGTTCAAAAAACAATACTAACTTCCTTAGCATTTTTAAAAAATGCATGACATTCTAAAAATGCATGCATGCATATTGTTTCTTGTGAGGAGTGAAATAAGTAATTGTTGTGGTGGTGGTTGCTTACACATAAATGAGTAAGTCTTACAAAATGACATGCATGATAGACTACAGGTTGCTCAATTTTGTTTCTCTTTGAGGCTGGCCGGTGAATTTTTGAAAACTGAATATTTATTTGTTGTTGTTGGACACGTGGGTGGAGCCTGCAGTGACGTTCAGCAAAGTATTCTTCAGGTTGCTCAATATTCCAAGAGGGAGAAACTGTTAGAAATTCTACAAAGCATAGGTAACTTTCCTTATTACTAATTGTTACTTGTCTTCCAGGATAGACAAAATGCTTGCTTTAAACCCTGCTCTCGCTGCTGACATTCATGATTCCATTATATTAGGCACAGTATAGACTTTGTAAGACCATTGCTTAAAGCCCTCTCCAGGGAATGCTGCTGCTCTAAATTGAGTTTTAGACTTTTAAGCATTTGTGCTACGTACGGGTATTTGTCAGGGTCTCACCTGTCCTGGGTAATAGCAGACAAGCTTCCCAGGTGGTGAACTTCTCTGAAGGGTCAATTAGCAATTGCTTTAGCAGCTGTGGCATTGCCTACAGTTTGGCTGGGTTTTATTTCCAGTTTTGATTGGAATGGATCCGGCTCCATTTGAACTGAATATATCTTACTGTTTAATGCTGAAAAGTGGGAGAGGGTTTGGAGTTAAAAGATGGTCTGTGTACCTTGTTGCTCAGTGCTCAGAATTGTTTGTCACTTCTAGCTGCATGCGAACTAGGTTGCATATTGGGACTTACCACAGATCAGAATTAAATATTTCCAGCTTTTATTGAGGAGAAATATAATGCAATAGGCTTCACCTAGGTTTCTGTATTGATCTAGAAATGGATGAACTGAATATATTTAGTTTAACGCAGGCAAGAAATCATGAGCACACCTTAAATACCTTACTCAAAACCAGTTCTGACATTATGTAACTGTAGTTCTCATATATGTAAGAACCGCGGTTGCGAATTGTGAAAATGCATTAGGTTTCAAATTGCAGGAGATCTGAACTCTTGTTTAACATAGGTTGTGAACGAGCCATGGTATTTGTGGATACAAAGAAAAAAACTGACTTCATTGCGGCCTTTCTTTGTCAAGAAAAAATACCAGCCACTAGCATCCACGGGTGTGTTTGTGTGCGGGTTTTTTTTTTGTAATGTAAAAGTCACTTAATACTATTTCTTGTAAGATGCTTTTCCCGAGATTCGTTGTCTGGCCATATCTATGCAACTTAGCTGGCCTTGTAACCCTCAGTAGCTCCACCCAGTTGAGAACGTAGTGTTTCTGAAGGCCAGTTTTTACTTTGCGTTTGCTGAGTATGTATCTTCAAATACTCTTATTGCTCTAAGGCCTCTGTTCATCTGGATTTTGGATTATGTGGCAAGTTCTTAAACTCTTAAGACCAAGAGCCATCTCTTAAGCTGTGGGAATGGTGTCAAAGCCACCTATGGTGTTTGAAAGATTTCCTGCTTGGAAAGCTTGGTTTGTGTGTATGTCCAATTACTCAGTAGGTGCTGTGGCTGCAGTATGTATTGCTGTGGGGAATGTTGAGAAAGGGTGCCTGCACCTGGAAGCTGTTGCCTTTCAAGAGACTTGAATGCTGATGACATTTGCACTGCCAAGAAATCCTGTGATCCAAAGATGTGTATCTGCGAGTCAATTTCTAGGCAGAAAAACTAGTTGAATCCATGTATATGTTACAGACTACTTACGTTACTTCTGTGACTTTTCCAGTTGAGGTATTTAGACGGGGAACAAGAGGCTCATATGCCACACTTCAAGCAATCACTTAGGCTCAAGCTTCATGGAGGGGCTGGAGTGATAACCAGCCAATTTCTTGCCATCATCTTATCACTTCCTCAATTCAGCAGCTTTAGCCAGCTCTAGTTGGCTTCAGTAGCATTTCATTGATGGATCAGATGCCTTTCAGTGTGTCCTGTGCTTGACATACTGAAGCAGCTTTGATAAGCATGTCATAGCAGCTTTGATAACGGTTTTTGACACCTCTTGAGGATCTCTCTTGAGTCTCCTTCAATAGACAGTAAACTTGTGCTTGGTATCCCTTCATTACAGGAGTGTAGATTTTCCTTATCAGTTATTTGTAGCTGAAAAGCTACATTACCAGATCAAAGGGGACCACAGTTCTTCAGGTGGTTTTGTTGTGCTCATGCTGACTTTCAGAAGGCTAGCTTACATCTCCTAGCTTGCAGGATGTGCTTGATTTCATTCTGGTATTGAGATGTTAAGAGAGACTAGTGAAGGCTTTCAATTCATAGGATGGTGGGATAATTCAGATGGAAAGGGACCTCAGAAGGTCATCTAGTACAACGTCCTGCTCAGAGCAGGGCCAGCAGTTATCACTAATTGCTGCTAGTTTTGATTTCTGAGTAAGCTAGCCAAAGAAGTGCTTGTGCAAGATATTTCATGCTTGATTATCTTAAAGCTGGCAAAGGCCAATAGCCAGTTGAACCCCACCAGCTCTCTGCTGCTACAGAATCGCAGAATAGTTGAGGGTGGAAGGGACCTCTGTAGATCATCTGGTCCAACCACCCTGTTCAAGCAATGTTAGTTAAAGCAGGTTGCCCAGAACCATCTGCGGTCAAGTTTTGAATGTTTTCAAGGGTGGAGACTCCACAGCCTCTCTGGGCAACCTGTTCCAGTGTTCAAACACCCTCACAATGTTTTCTTGTGTTCAAGTGGAATTTGCTGTGTGTGTTTGTCTGGTTTCTCTCATCCTGTCACTGGCCGCTAGTGAGAAGAGCCTGGTCGCATCCTCCTGACCTGCTTGTTTTCCACACATGGCTTTTCTTGTGGACCCGTTAAGTTAATTGGATCTGTCTGTGGAATCTACTTTGAGGGCTCTCTTTGAAACCCTAGTTACTCCTTAAGAGAAGAGGTTCTAGTTTGACCTTGATTGAAGAGTGACTTTAGACTTCCTGCTTGATTACTGCAAGGACCTATCCCAAGTTTATGACAGAAGTCTCTTCTCAAAGCTTAACTGGAATAAAAAGACTAACTTGCTAGATTTGTCCTGTACATAAGGTGTAAGACAGACATGAATATCAATAAGAGTGTCTTTTATTCACATTACTAAGCCTTTCAGAGCAGTTCCTGAATTGGAGGGGAATACCTAGTAGTCCGAGAGACATAGCTACTTGTACGCAACTTGGAGCGTAGTGGATTCCAGCAGAACATGTTATAGAGTTACTTGAGCAGTTTTGGTTATCAGAACATATTTTACCCAGGTTTAAAGTTGCTGTAGCCTCACTCTGAAAGCTTTCTGCCTGGTATTTGAATACCCACATGTTCCTCTCGTGTTCAAGTTCCTGTACTGCTGAAGCATCCAGCACTTGTAGTCCAGCAGATGTGGAATACGAAGGACAGGAGACTTACTTTCAGCTGGTGCATTTTTGGGTGCATAAGAATGCTGCTTGGACAAGGACCACTTCTGGCAAATAATCTTTTTGTTAGTAACAGCTTTTTGATATGTGCTCCACATCTGTCCATCCCTTGATTGCAAATACAGAGAAACCAAAACTATATCCTTGCCTGTGTTGTTAAGGTGGATGCCTGTGTTACTCTTCTGGGCAGTTTTCAATCTGAGTCATAAGTGGCACAACTGCACAAATGTGTCTGTGTAAATACATCATCAAGATCTTGATAATGGATGAGCAGCCTTTTAAGAAACTTGCCTGGTGCATGGAGCAGTATTGGTTTGCTTGGTATGCTTAAATGAATGTTTGTTCAGAACCTTTGTAAGAAGTGGACAAACTTAATGCTAAATAAATTAGAATGTAATAAATACAGCAGAACACATGGCTTGTATGTATTTCTTGTCATCATACGTTGTGATTAAGAAAGATCTTTTTGTGTTAATGGGGTGCTTTTTTGATACGATGTTAAGGAATTCAGGTGGCAGGTATGGAGTTTCCACTCTGTCTTACAGGCTTCGCCAGAGGTGACAAGATAAGTCCAATCATGTATCATGCAGACATGCTGTCGTATCTGCCTCCTTGATGTGTTCATGGACTTTGCAGAGTATTTGTAAGGAGACTGGCCTAAAAAGAATGTTTCTAACTTGTGTTTGTGGGTTACTCAGTAGCATTTGGTCAGGTACACAACACTGAGAAACTTAAGGTCAAATACTCAATAATTCCAGGTCCAAGCCCACCTAAGAAGAGTGTCCATCTCTTAAGCGATGAGCTAACATGCAGTGTCATGGTGGTTGTTTACGCTTCAAAATGTACGTAAGCAAACTGAATTTTGAGATTCACCATCTGAAAACCAACTTTGCAATATTTTTCATCTTTTAACTGGAGGAAGAGACTTTGAAGTTTTGTCAAGAAAACAGTGGTTTGGACAGCGTTCTCATGGAACATCAGAATATTTAGTTTGTAGATAGTTAAAATCGTCGTAGTATACAGATACGAAACATTCGTGTGTATCCTGTGCCCTGTCAGTTCCACAAGTGTATGTGAAGGGTTGTTTTGAGAAGATTTGGCGTTCTGTTCTCAGCTGACTTGTAATACTTAGCTGAATTGCTATTGCAGAACTTGACTTTTGGAGGAGGCTCCTATGCATTTCGTTAGAATTATTACACTGTAAGTTAAGGTACACTTAAGGGTAACTGGGTCCATGCAAGCTGCTAAACTTGTGAATTATACTGATTTGAGATTTACTTCAGTTTTTAAATTGGAAGCTAGTTAGGATGGCTTTCTTAACTGCTGTTCTCTGGGATACCAGTCATACCAGAGTAAACTAAATGGCCTGTTTGGGATTCAACTGAGTACTGTTTTTTCTTTTTCTTTTTTTTTTTTTAAATTTGTCCTCTGATTTGGACAACAGAAAGGCATCTGTAAAACTCTGCTCTACAATATGTAACTATTAATCTGTAAATACTTAATGTTTAAAAACAACAACAGAAAAAACAAATGTAGCAAACCAATGTTTCTTGCCCTCCTGAGGGTGAGCAAATGCAAATGCTATACTCTTGGCTGGCCACTTTTTGGGATGTCTGATAAATGTCCTGTGCAGGAGGCAAGGTAGACTTCGCCTTTGCTCTCTTGGGTCCCTGCTGCAAAGCATAGTGAAAGTGCTTCTAACTATGGCTTGAAGAAACTTATCAGTAAAGAAGTGGCCCTTCAGGGAGGAGGTGATACATAACTGTCATCTGTAATTGCATGAAGCTATTGCTGCCTTGACACAAAAATTAATTTAAAGAAATATATCTATGACAGAGCACCCTTTGTAGGTATATCTGAATGTCTGGTTTAAAGCATGGAAATAACTTAAATCCTTGAAAATAAAGTCCTGTTGTCTTTGCTCCCCTTTTCTTGATTCTCTAACAGTTGCCTTAGCACCCTTCCTTCTCACTTCACTTCCTCATGCTCATCTTTGAGATAATTGCGTTACCTCTAAGTGGGCCATGCATGTAGTGTTCAAATAGTCCTAATATATGTTTCTTTTTTAAGAAACGTAATTTCTCTAGAGGCTTAGGTTGAAGTTCTTTATGTATCTTACTGTGAATCAGTTAAAATCAGAAAATTCTAAACTGGTAGGTATTTTATACTTCTGTGTGTGAATCTTACTTGCTCTTTAGCTTACGTCTTACTATTACAGTGGGTTTTTGAGGGTTGGTTTTTGACATCTATTCTAACCTTTGTTTTTTTGTAGAGCTAGGGAACAGAGAGAGAGAGAAGTAGCTCTTCGGGATTTTCGATCTGGAAAATGCCCAGTTCTTGTGGCAACTTCAGTGGCAGCAAGAGGCCTGGACATAGAAAATGTTCAGCATGTTATTAATTTCGATCTTCCTTCCACCATTGAAGAGTATGTACACCGAATTGGACGAACTGGTCGTTGTGGAAATACAGGCAAAGCCATTTCTTTCTTTGATAATGGTTCAGATGGCCATCTTGCACAATCTCTAGTTAAAGTGCTTTCAGATGTAAGTTTCAAATCTTACTGTGCTCACTCTTTTATTTTTTGGGACTTTAATAAGTGGCTGCAGGTGTAATTGCAGAACTCTTAATGTGAATTGGTAAAGTAGTCAAGGTCTCTAAATTCACTTTTCTGATCATGCAGGCTCAACAGGAGGTTCCAGTTTGGCTAGAAGAAATTGCTTTTAGTGTTCGTGAAACTGGTGTTACTGTGCCAAGGGGAAATGTCTTTACATCAGTTGATACCCGAAAAGTAAGTTTGGAAGCTAATTCAAGTACTGGCTTTTAAAATTTTGCTATGTCAGTATAAAAGCATGTTTAGCTGTATATATTCAAATTAGTGCCACTGAAACTGTTTTGACTGAAATGGTTTCCGTCACCTTAGTTATTTCCATTTTACTGTGGAAATGCAATTTCTAGCAGCCATTCTCTTGGATTTTCTGTATGTTTCTGTTCAAAGACTCTTTTTATCTAGATTGTTTCCAGAGGTGGATCTCATCAACCTTTGAATCTAGATTCATAGATACATCTCTAATCTTTGCAAGGAGTTTGATCTCCCAGCACTTCATGAAGTCTGTCACTTCTGAGTGAGGGTGGAGTTTGTCCTTTGTGTCCTTGACCTCTGAGTTACAAAATCTGGCTGTGACTCTTGGTCCACTCACTTTTGAACAGAAAAGTCCTTCCCTTCCCTGCCTTGAGAATCAGGAACTTTTTTTCTAATCAACTCCTAGTTAGAGAACCTTAGAAAATCATTGCTTGCAACTTCAGTCTCTTCAATTTTGTTTTTCTTTACAGCTGGTGACATCATTAACCTTGAAGTTCTTGAAAAGGACACAAAGTTCTTTTTCAGTTTAACCCTGCCAGAAGTGCCCCAAACAGTTGCAAATAGCTTTCAGCGTTTTAATCCTTAACGCTTAGGGCAAAGGCCACATTATAAATACTTGTTCGTCCTGTTGGTGGTGCTGCTGCTTCTAATCACTTCATTGAGGCCTTTTGAAGTCAGTGATTCTAACAAACTGCATGTTCCTATTCAGCTTTTTTTAAATTGACTATTAAAGCTGGTTTTTCTACTTTTTATAGTCGGCATACTTCTCTGTTCTCTCTTAAAAAATGGCTCGTATCTGTTGTTTTGTTCTGGATGCTACTGTAACTGTATCAGCTGGAATAGGTCTCTTCTGTAACACGGGCATGTTGTTCAATAACGTTTATTCTCTCTTTCCTGGGGAATAAAGCAAACCTGATGTGTATGTAATCACTTTTTTTTTTTTCAAACTGCGTGCTTAAAAGACCATTTTATAATAGTGAATTTGAACAAGGAATCTGGAGGCTCTTATTTGATCACTTAAGAACAATTTTGTAGGTCACCAGGCTTAATTCCCAAGTAAAATCCTTTTGAAAAAAGGAAAGTAATGCAGACAGTGGTTCTTAAGAAGTGGAGAAGGAAAAATTTTCCCCAAAGCTGTGGTGAACTGTTTGGGTAATAGAAGAAGCTTGGCTTTGAACAGAAGTCTCTGACAACTTGGAGAAAGGTTAATCTTTCACCTGATACAATCTGAGGCTGGTAAAAATGCATTAATTTTGGATTAGAGTCTAAACACCTAATGCACAGAAGTTTGATAGACGCTTCTTTACTTAAAATGTGATGTTTAATGACATTTAGTGAGTTGTGTATGCAGAAGGGTAAAATTGCTTTTTAATAGCTTTTGTTAAAGGATTGAATGTGGGTGTTAAACTGGTTCTAAACTAGTATCTGTTATTTCCTAGAATTATGAAGGCAGAGGCATCACCAACCCAGGAGGAATGAGAACGTCATGCGCTTCAAGTGCATTTGAGTCATGGGATTAAAACTCATTTGGTACCAAACTAGATTGTTTTATGTTGTGCTTTAAGTGAGTTGTTGCACTTACTGTTCCTTATTGTTGAGCTTTATGGAACGCTTAATGTTTAAAGACTAGCTGGTATCATATAATAATGCCTGCAACAATGTATGTGTACTCAGTTATGATGAACCCTGTGATTATCCCTTCATGTAAGAAGGCAAAAGCCATTTTTAGGAGACACTTCAGGTATTTCTTAAAGTGTTAATTCTTTCAGTAAGAGTTCACTGATACTTGGCAGCTTCTATGTTGCTATAAAGATGTGGAACTTGATCCTTGTTTATTTTGTAAGTGGAAAATAGATTTACTGAGAATTACCACTTTGTTATCAAAACTTTGCATGGGAAAATAGTGTTGTGAAAACCTGTTTTGGGAAAGGCATCCATGTAAAGAGCTCATCTAAACTTAATGTCTTAATGTCCGTTCCTATGTCTACAGGTCAGTTATAAAATTTGTACCAAATGATGAGATGATTTATCCTAAGGTGCTGTCAAACATCTTGTAAACACTTACTTAATAAATACTTGAGGATCATGTTGTGTGTTGGTGGTTTGTTCCCATGACAAACGTACAAAAAGGCCCATGTCATTTCATGAACTGCTGCATATATTCATGTATTTCCATAAGGAACCAAGAAGTTCAGTGGCTCTATCCACAACTCATCTGAAATGGATGCTTGCACAGAGCTGTCTTTTGAGAAGGATGGAGCCCCATGTTGCATCTAGTATAATGTTTCTGCCTTTATGACAAGCATGCACACTGTTCTGTTACCTCTCTTGTGGAAAAAACTTGGTTGAGAGCTGTCCAGAACCTTTTCCTAGACTTGTAGAAGCTGTGGAGGGTAAGCAGACACTCTCAGCTGTGTTGTGAGACAATTTCTTTAAAGTTGCTATTTCTCTGAGTATTTTTGGATTTTCTAGAGCAATAGACTATGAAGGTGCATACCACTGTACCCCAAAGGGAAACACCAACGCTGTGTAGTTTGTTTCTGACATATCTTGCACAGCTGAACAAGCTTCTGTCATATTCTCTGGTATTCAGCACACAGAATGCTGAACACTATTTCTTGTTCAGCCTTTCCACTTAACATAGGCAAATAATGCTTTTAGCACTGCTTACAAGACTGAGGGTCTAATCCCAAGGTTTGTGAAAATCAGAACTAACTTAAGCTGTACCATGGAATTGGTTACTGCAGCAAAGCATTCTGCTGTTTTTACTTTTGTAGAAATGCTTAAATACCTACTTAATTTTTTGCACAATATGTAGCAGTCAAAAAAGTAGCTGTGTAGTTGCAGTGAATTGAAGTGAAGGTGTACTTAAAGGGCAGTTCACGAGCAGAAAATGTATTTAAGCTTGAAGTCTGTTGTTCACAGTGCAGCATCTTGGGCATTGTGACTCTTTCTCCTGACAAGTCTCCTTGAGGATTTTTATATCCATTCTGAATTTCAGTCAACTTCAGGGTGCTTTTGGTTGCTGGCTGCAATAAACGTGACTGAGATACATGATTTCCAGAGGAAGCTGTACAGCTGAAGTCTTCCATTTCTATGAGAAGAAACCAAAGTAACTAGTCATAGGTTACTGCTATCCTAAAAGAAACCTTCAAAGGGATCCTGACTTACAACCTTGTTTTAAGGACCACTTCCTTAGGTTCCGGCATCCATCTGCTTTTATCCCTGGGCACTTTTTTCGTTTGTGTTACCTCCTAGCCTATGCCTCTTGGGTGAGGGGGAAGTCTGCCTAACTGACTAGAAAGAGCTGTTCTGGCCCTATTATCTAGCTTTTAGTGCAAGTGATGGTGCTGTTCTCGTTTGAAGCTGCTGTTGCTATAATGCTATGTCGCATCTTGCTATGTCACTTTTTTTTTTTAAGTGCTGCATGAAAAACTAAACATGATGAAACTTCATCTACTTCAGAGGAGATAAGAGATGAAGGTACAACTTGTCATACCTGCCAAGATATCAGTCTAGCAATTAAAGGCCATAAAAAGATGTGATGGGTGGAAGCTAAAGCTGCAGAAACTCAGGCTTGCATTTTATTCGTAATTTGTAGATTAATGACTAGGATAACTTTAGTACCTACTACAGTTCATTAAATATAACATCTCAAGGACTCCTACAAGATTTAAGAGTTCGTATACAGAGTGTATATTAGAACTCATAAGCTCCCTTAACTTAAATATTTTCACAAAAGACTATTCCTTTTTTTGTAACCTGGAATGGATGGGAAGGGGGTTGGTAATCTGTTTAAAGGTAAAACTGAAAGGAGTATGGGTATGTGTGTGCACATGTGCAGTAACTTTGCAAAGGTATGTGTTTGCTTACATTTACTGTTTCAGTACTCTATCCTTTATAAGGACTCTTGCATGTTGTCTGTCCATGCATGGGCTTTCTATGTTTATTTCTTCATGTTTCCAGATAAAAAGAAGTTGCACAGGACTTGCAGTAACTTGCCTGTATGCTATCCTAAAATATTGTACCTCTTTAAGTGACATTGTGCATCTGCGAACTGTATCTTCCTCTTCTGCTTCAGGTACACGTATATATGCCTCAGTATCTAGTTTATCAGAAATTAAGTAGAATAGTTTCTCTAAGACAAAAAGGTAATAACTAGATGACTTCAACAATGTAATTGGAAGCGCACTGAATAACGGGTCATATCATTTGGAACTTTTGGTGAAGTATCTGTCTGGAACACTTGATGGCACTGTGTTTGCAAACATTTGTGTTTAATTTCCCTTTTATGAAGGTACATATTTAGTAAGTTTAAAACAGTACTGCAGGGGACTGCCTTACCCTGGGTAAGGCGGGCTTCAGTTTTGTATGTTCTGTTATGCAGAACTGTTTTTCTTACCTGTGCTTTTTACAACTTGAATCTCTTTTTTTTTTCCTGTATGTTCAGAACTGCCCCTTTCCTTAGGGAATAAAACTGGCTGCTACTTTCACTTAAGTAGTTCCTGAAGATGGTAGGAGTTGGCAGAAGCAAATGTTTTTGAGTTCTGAAGTGGCTCTTTTTATTGCTACATCATTTAAAAAACAAACATTACTAGAATGGTAGTTCTAGTATGAATTTATACAATGATTTACTCATTTATACAGTGATTTCCAAATGTAGAATTTCTTTAAATCAGACTTACCTTTTTTTTTTGGAGGCTGGAGAATGGCAAACTGAAGAACCAAGTCTGTCAATGAACTTTATCTGATCAGATACGAAAAGTTGCTCAAAAAAGGGGGAGGAGGGTTAGGAGTAGAGAACTGCAGAAGAGAATTGGGAATCACAGTTGCAGGAAACTGTAGTCCCTTCTTGAATACTGAGTTTTGTCTTACGCTTTCAGCCTCTCCTGCAACTTTTTACATATATATTAATCTGTGGAGAAACATTTCAGTTTTATTCTCAAGTGAGGGAAAAGCCTGGTAAAGGTAAGCGTGTGGGGGATGTTAATTAACGGCATTGCCAAGTGCCTCTGTTATTTTGATTTCTGCACTCAAATAAGTAATTATATATTGATGCAGAAAATATTTTGAAAGTCTTACTGAAGAAATATTCTGCCTTTGTACGCATATGTGTATGTATGTGTGTATACATATACACATACATATAAATAAATACCTTCTTCATGTAAAGAGTTTTGTATGGGAAGTCATATGTCACTTATCTTGCAGTTCTTTGAGTAATTACCTTTGAGTAATCTCAAACATAGGGATCCTTAAAATTGAGCAAGGCTGGCTTAGGCCTAGCCTTCATAGGGACAAGTAGTTTCAGTCCCCTAGCTGCCAGTTTTATGATTAGCACATCTCAAGCAGCTCACTTTTTCCCTCCTGCTTGTACAGGACGGAGCAAATGGCGCCTGTCACTTACTGTCAAAGCTCTTATGCGCAGACAAGAGTCCAGTTGTTCTGCGGTGTTGGTTGTGATGAGTGTTCTTAAAAGGCTTCATTCCTCTTGGATGCCTCTACTCTCTGCAGTGATATGCTAACCTTGGGTCCTTGCGCATTTTTTCCTGTCATCACCTTGGTTTTTATACAACAAATGGTGTTTGTGTTGGAGATGAGTTCAAGATTAAGCTGGGGGCTTTTAACAGTCTAGCATTACAAAATTCCAGCAAGCCTTCTTCCCTTCAGCAGTACGCTGAATGCTGCATGTTTTTATTTCTGTGACATTGCAATGGTAACCTACTCGGAGAAAGTTCAGGCACTGTATTTTCTGGTGGGATGAGTTTGCCATCAGAGTCTGCAATCGTGAGGGTGAAAAGGAAGGAGAGCTTTAGAGGTGATTTTTAGGAAATGTTCATTAACTTTGGATGCTGGTCAGAGCAGCAGTCCTGGGAATAGGAAAGAGCAAGTGAAGTCAAGGGGTTCTTTTGCATGGCTGAAAAATGAAGGAGAAACAGCCAAGAGGACTGTTCAAGCAAGTGCTTGCTTTAATCAATAGACAGTTTTCCTTTTCTGAAATAAGCTGTGGCTCCGTATCTGGCATAAATACTAGTCCCTGTAGACGTTCTCCATTTAGCGTTGCAGCTGTTGGGACATTTGGGGGCAGGGCAACTGGATATTCTGTGAGCTCCTACAATGGAAATATGCTGGAATGGACGTCTGCTCTGATCTTGGAAGCCTGACAGATATATGCATGGCTGTTTTTTATTAGTGGTGAGTCTGTGATCAGTGGTATCATTATGCAGTTTTTCAGAGCACATGGCAAAACTCAGCTCTCTCTTTCCTTTTCTTTTTTTCCCTGAGATACCTGAAACGATTCTCATAATTGTATTTAGTATATTTGAATGTATCAAAAGAAGAAATAAAACTGTCTATTTTTTTTTAGCTGTTCTTTACACACCATGGTTGTCCTGGTGCATCACTCCATATTGCTACAATTTGAATACATGAGATGTGTTTAATATCCTTTGTTTTCTGGGACTTGACCCAGTGATAAAAATGTGTGGTTTTGGGTTCTGTCTCTTGGACTTCCACCCTAGCATTGTCCAAGTCCTGTACTGATGAAAAGCCTTGCTATTCTCTTTAGATATATGGGCACTAATATATAATACAATACCATGTGGTATGAATCTCACAGCATACAGCTGTGGTTGTAAACAATAGCATCCTTTTAGTTTATATGAATGTTCTTCTCGCTAGCTTGCAGCTAGACTGCATGCCTAGTCCTCTGTAATCAGGGTGTGGATTTGACCAAGAAGGTCAGGCATCATATCTTAAAGTAAGCAGGCACAGACACTTTGGAAATAATGATCATGAATCAAAATAGTAAGAGGTAATGATGTTTGTTTATGAAGAAAGCTTGTTGGTATATCAGTACAGAGGAAGGCTAAGAAATTGCATGAAGGACTGAACACTTCATGAGTAAA